GGGGAGAAACAGTAAAACAGCAAAGTGGACAACATAATATTATGTTCATAATCCAAGTTCTCCAAAGCAGAATTTGATAAGGCTCTCTACCCCTTCTTTCCATCTTTCGTAAAAGGAGGGGGATGCTAATTTAATTCTGTGTAGGCCTATTATTCTGTTGATCTTTTTTTGCTTTTTGATTGTTTTCAGGGTTGAGGAGGCGGTTCTTTTTAAAGACTGCACGTGTTTATGTGGTCAGGAGTCTTTCTGAACATCAAGGATAGAGGAGGGGGTGGGGTTGGTTGAATGAAAAATTAACCCAAGAATCTATATCACTGGCAAGTCCAAAAGTGCTGCATAATTTCATAAATGAAGACAGGAACAAGCTTGCTAAAAATTAAATTATGTACCAGAAAGAACTTTAATATTTGAATGGGATGACATAAACAACAATGGCTTGCTTGTAATTGTGAGACTCAAATGCTCTACTTGACACAAATATAGAACATTTTGAAGGCAAAAAATGACATGACAGTAACAATTTATATAGTAACAGAAAAATTAAAATGTATATACACATTAAGTAACAATGGAGAAAAATTTAGGCACCATTGCAATTAACAGATCTAGAGTGGTGAGTAAATAATGAGAACAACTTGTATGAGGTTTTCCTTTCAAGCACTAAAGAACAGAACCTTTCAACCACACCCAAAAATAGTCTTATCCCTCACATTCATAAAACACACATACGCTTCGACTTCTAACTATAACCAAAAAATATATCTCTTGTTCAATACTTTTATTTGAGCACTTCTATTAAACTATTCTGTCTCACACATGAGCTTTACCATTATCATGGAAATGGTAGACAACAATCTCCGTCAAGCTGGCTGGAACTTATTGAAAAATGAAAGCAAAATTTAATGCTAGAGAGAAAGAGTTAGGGTCAAACTGGGAAGGGGTAAATGACAGGAATATGAATAACTTTCCGGGGGGGGGGGGGGGGGGGGGGGGGGAGAAGGGGGGAAAGAATTTACATTGCACAAGACAAAATCTACATTCTAAATAAATCTATCTGATCGTAGACATCACAGCTGGACCATGAACAAATTAGAAGTGAGAGAGTGGTACTATTTGAGTTCCTTCACGACTCTCAAAGCCAACTCCTTTTCGTCATATTTACCTTCCTCTCTTTTCCCCCACTCTTATCACCCTACCCCCCAACCTCCTCCTTTGACAACATTATCCAGAAACAAGATAAACAAATACACAAGCCAGGAGATTAGCATGTCCCTTACCTCAGACAACAGCATCACAGGACTTACATCACCATAACCATAAGAATGGTTCAGCAGAGATCAATAAGAATTATGCATAAAACATCCACACTAAGGGACTGGACTTACCAGCAAACGCTCCTTCACTCAGGCAATGAGCCAATGACTAAATCACCAAATTTTTGTTCTATATATACAAATGTTCTTGAAATAGACTCAATTCATTAACCCCTTGACTGCTAGAGCTAAACCATGAGTCCACCACGTGTGCTAAGGATATTTCTACCCAGACTGTATATAACACGGTATGCTTTTTGAATGGCTATAGCTCACTTACTATAAGGAGTAGATATAGGAAAGTACATATCAAATAAAAGAGAAATGAATATACAATCCATTGGTGCTAATCATTTTTAGGTACAAGTATTCTGTAAAAGAATCTGGCAGGTGAAAGTTAAATTTGTTAAAATTCCATCTCCGTATTCGAGATCCCTGTCATCTTGAAGATTAAATCTATGACAAAAACTTTCTTCAGATGAATTGAAATCTTTGTCATCACTGTCTGCATCTCGATAAATTTTTGCACTAACCTAATCCGAAGACCTAGTCAGTTTTTGCAAAGCCATTATGGCGAATGTAGACTGCACGCAAAAACCACAGAGAGGCAGACTAACTTCGTTATTCACGCACAACACTCTACACACAATGTCTCTTTGTTTTAGCTACCACATGCGAATCCTTGGACCGATAGCCTAAAAATAGACATGATCGCATTGGCAAGTGAACAGAGCATACGGGGATGTAACTCTTGATATTCAAAACTGTGTAGAAGCGAAGATATGCATGGAACAAAACAGGGGTTCTTCAGGCGTACCGGGCACGCCCAGAGCAGACAAGGGGTCAACAGGTAGGCCTACATAATAAATGTGTACTGACAAAACTATCTGAGCTCTGTAAACCCATTGAAAAAGTCAGGAATGAATGTTGAGAAATGGATTGATGACACAACGTTTACTGACTGACATGCTGATGAATTCAGACAAGAAGAGATTATTAACTTCTCAGGAAAAGATGGTCATCCCTCCTGCCACGTAAGTAAGAAAAGGGGATGAAAGATTAAATGTAAGGACTAATAATCAGCATAATTTTGATTGAACGTATCATCATGCTTGTATGCACATGAGCATTTCAAAATGTACCATAAACATGTTTGAAGAAATAGTCACACACACACACACACATACACACACACATGCACACACATACACACACACATGCACACACATACACACACATACACACACATACAATAATGGGAATGCTATGAATTCACTTATCTCAAGAATCTCTACATCTCATCCCAGATACAGTATCTAGCAAAACACCTTGTAGGCTACATCCACACGCATTCAGGCACATTTTCAAACAAATTGTACACAAGATATTACAAAGTGATTCACCAGATTTCAAATGGAAATATCTCTACCTCTTGAGCTCATCAGATACCAAAACTCATTCTCGTTTCTTTAACCCTCCAAGTGTCTGTAACAAATAGCCTGGAGAAATTATATCATATCACAACATTATGTTGGAAAATACTTGATAAAAGACAATCCAAGCAAGTAAAAACCATAAACCTGCACATTTTCAGAAAAAAAGAATAGAAATAAGAAATAGAGCCCGTGGCAATATAAAAATTGAGATAAACCAAACAAAACAGCGACTATAATTAGGGTCAATTAAATCGTCCATGACACCACAGTACAAAACTTTTGGCCAGTTATATCAGGTAGACACTAGGAGGGTTAAAGGATGAAATTTCAAGTTGTTGGGTACCAAAGCCTAGAGAGTTGATAACTCAAGTCATAGGTTTCATGCAACAGTGGGAGAGCAGTTTGTGGACAAACATCATTTTTCCACGCACTATTTCTTGGTTGTGTTTGACAGTAAACTAGAGGAACAAAGGAAGACCAAAGATAAGTATGACAAAGAAAGGAGGAGGCCGATGTAAATACACTGAATAGAAAACATGGACATTAGAGCAGGGGAAAGGGTGCACAAAACAGACATTTGGAGACAAGTTGTCGATGGCCTATGCTCCATGGGGAGTTCAAAGAAGAGAGTGAGAGAGAGAGAGAGAGAAAGAGAGAGAGAGAGAGAGAGAGAGAGAGAGAGAGAGAGAGAGAGAGAGAGAAAGAGAGAGAGAGAAAGAGAGAAAGAGAGAAAGAGAAAGAGAAAGAGAGAAAGTGAAAGAGCCAGAGAGAGAGAGAGCCAGAGATAGAGAGAGAGCATAAGCATGAAGACCCTAGAAGTAGTAAAGTGCTTACATGTCAATCATTCAAACCTAAGAGATTTTCTTTTCCACAAGAGCTCTCCGGATTTTTCTCATTTGAAGCTTGGTGGATCCTTTTGAGCAACCCTTTACATGAAAACAACAACAAAAATTTAGACATCAAAATGACTTTTGGCTACATTTTTCCCATTTTGGAATGAAAGCTTTTAGATAAAACAGTATTTCAAAAATGCTGTTCACTTTTCTGATATGCAGCTTGAGAATGCATCTGTGGGTTCCTCTCATTCTTTTACATTTTTCCAATCACAACTTTCATTCATGAGCTCCTTTTAGTACTTTTTTTTTTTTGCAGTTGTACAAAACAGTTACTCACAAGTCTGTAGGCATATTTGTACCAAACAACTTGAGAGAGCCATTCTCATCTTCTTCTCTCCCTTTTGCACAACAAAACCTTTTCCTTCCTTCAGTCCCCACTCTTTTACTCATCTCTTAGCCATAGAAGCCCTCTCCTCTACCACCCCCTCTCCAACTCATACAAGACCCTCCTTCCATCTTTCTCTTCCCTCCAAGTTTCCCTTGCCCCCAAACATGTATCCCACCAAACAACACTACTAACCCGAACACCATGATCCCCTCTCTCCCTTCTTGCTGCTCAGCCCAATCCATACCCAACCCTGAACCCCAATCTCAAACCCACTAAAAGAATTCAGCTTTCTTAAACTATTGTCAATTGTGACCTCTTTTGCTCCTCAATAAAGGTCGCCATTTTGAGCTAGTAAAATTTCCTTCATTACATGTACACCTGAAAAGACATGCTTTGGCAAAGTCTGAAAGGCACGACACATTTCATACATGAAAGCAAAGTTCTCCCAACATCTGAGGTTTCCAGAACTCCAGATATAAAATGGGCAGTCCAATTCGATAAGCATTCTTGTACATAAACAGTCAGCCACCCATCTCTTGGTCACTTGTTAGAAAACCAGTCGCTTTTTAAGGCCACCTGTGCAGATAGACATCATCAGACATGATAAGATACTGTAAGTTTACACCCCCACAATCATATTCACATCACAATTTTTTTTAAAGTAATTTTTTAACTACATTGCTTCTTTAACAATAAAGCAATAAATCAATAGTTAAACCTCAATAAACATGAAAAGGGATGTCACAAAAACAATAGATAACTGAAATATTTTGACTAGCAGACAACGAAACTGAAAGACAATTAACTGAGAATACAGGTTCAAATTGTCGTATAAAAGCAAATTTCAGATCTCACAAAGAATTTTTATTTTTATTTCAAAATCTGCAGTTCACATTACAATAAGACTTGGCGAGGGCTTGAGTTCTCTTTTCAAAATCTTCCAACATGAATGACTCAATTCATTAGCAGCATAAGTGATATCAAGAGCTTGCACAACAGACCCTATGGTACTTATTTCATACCAAAATAATAGACATACAGTCCAGAACAGATCACTTGAACAAACAAAACTCCAACTCACTGAGACCTCAAACAATAAACCAATCCCCGAGTGAATCACTACATTTTCGTTCTATTGGCAGCACAACTTTCTTGAACACCTACACAGATGTATCAAACAGCTCATTTAGAAATGCCCAATCAAATTTTTCCTCACAAACGTCTTGAATTCAAATAACCTTGCACCACACCATGTCAAATAAACAAACCCATCATGACTAAGAGAATCATCAGATTACATGAGCCCACCAGGCTTGGCCCTGAACAGCGTGATACACACACTGAGCGGTATCGACACGTATTATTACACATGACCTGATCTGTGCGTAGGGCACTAGAACTTCCTTGGATCTAGTCATGTGAGGGTGGACGCTGGGTGGTGGGGTGTGATCGAAGACAGACAGTGTGGCACTACAGTGGGCCATATGGTTTATGAATTATGTCTGTGTTTGTGAGCATGTGTGTGTTTGTAGTTGTTTGAATCTGAAAGTATGGATCTGGAAGTGATAACACAAGAGGGGTGGGTGGCGTGCTCTGGTTTTATCATCATGATCATGATCTGAAGTGAGAGCAACTTTTAATTGTAGTTCTTTATTAGTCACTAGATTCATCAGCCTCACCCTCTTTGTGCCTCTTGTTTCAACACTGAACAAAGCACAAGAACTATATAAGCTTCTATCATTTTGTTGATACTGACCATTATACCATCAGTTACTTCCCTTGATTTCCTTCACTCTCTCTCTCTTATTTTTAAGGCTGATGTTAGGGGACCGTACGCCCCAATAGCGCTTGGCGCTAGGGGACCGTACGCCCCCATAGTGTTTGGCGCTAGGGGACCGTATGTCCTACCTGCACTAAGGCGTGGTGTTACGGGACCGTAGGCAGATATGCATGCATCTGGACTTTGCAAAAATACTGGAGGAAAATGGCCAGTTTAACGAAGCTCCTGACGTAAGGAGTTATTACTAGGAAAATGTTTAAAATGTCTGAATACGATTGTGAGGTATCTAGATCTAGTGGCCGTAGGTGAACCAAAATTTGAAATTTGCTCACGTCTGCACCAACGTTGTTTGTTATGTGTCAATAAAAGAAATCAAAGAGAGGGAGGGAGAGAAAGAAAGATATATATA